ACTCAAAGGCTTTTCGGAGAGTTTTGAAAAAAGGGAGACATTTGTCTGCAGATTTGGAGACAAACCTATTTAATGCTGCGATTCTTCCATTGAGGCGCTGGAGCTCCTTGGTTGAGGAGGGTGACTTCATGTCAAGAATGGCCTTGATCTTGTCAGGGTTCGCCTCAATTCCCCTCTGATTGACCATAAAGCCCAGGAATTTACCAGACCCCACACCAAAGGCGCACTTCTCAGGGTTGAGCTTCATGTGATAGGACCTCAGGACGTTGAAAGTTTTTTGGAGGTGATCGATGTGGTCTACTGCTGCAAGGCTCTTTACCAGCATGTCATCCACGTACACCTCCATTGTTTGCCCGATCTGAGACTGGAACATCTTGTTCACCAGCCGTTGGTAGGTTGCCCCAGCGTTCTTTAGCCCAAAGGGCATGACCCTGTAGCAGTATGTCCCCTTTGGCGTGATGAATGATGTCTTCTCTTGGTCTGGGGGATGCATGCTAATCTGGTTGTACCCCGAGTATGCATCCAGGAAAGTGAGCAACTCATGTCCAGCGGTGGCGTCGATGAGGAGGTCAATCCGCGGCAGTGGATAACTATCTTTTGGGCATGCCTTGTTTAGTTCTGTGAAGTCGACACAGAGGCGCCACTTCCCATTAGCCTTAGTAACCATTACTACGTTGGAGAGCCACTCCGGATACGCCACTTCCCTGACTGCCCCGTTATCAATCAGCTTTCTAACCTCCTTGTCCATGGCTTGGGCCCTTTCAGTGGAGGTTCCCCTTAACTTTTGGCGAACAGGCTTGTACAGTGGATCGACATTGAGGTGGTGGGTAGCTACTTCCGGGTCGATGCCCTCAAGGTCCTCATGCGACCAAGCAAAGATGTCCATATTACGCTTCAAAAAATCAATCAACAGGGGAGCCAGCTCTTCAGAAAGGGAAGAGCCAATGTAAATTCTTCTGTCTGGGTGCTCCTTTTCTAAAACCACAGGGATGAGTTCCTCGACTGGTTCTCCTCTTTCTGTTGTTGAGTCATCCCTTGGGTCAAGGACCTCAACCTGTAATGCTTCTTGGGGCTTCCTAGCCTTCATAGAGGATACATAGCACTCTCTGGCTGTTATTTGGTCCCCTTTGACCTCTCCGACACCATTTAAGGTTGGAAAGCGGAGAACGAGATGGTAGGTAGAGGGCACAGCTCTCAATGTGTTAAGAGCTGGCCGCCCTAATATGATGTTGTAGGCTGACGGGCACTCTATTACTAGGAAGTTGACCATGACTGTGGAGCTTCGGGGTGTTACTCCGGCGGTGACGGGAAGTGTGATGGATCCAAGGGGATACACTTTTTCTCCTGAGAATCCAATGAGGGGTGACCTGATTGGCTGTAGCCTCTCCCTGCCCAGGTTGAGCTTGTCATAGGCCTCTGCAAACAGGATATCCGTAGAGCTACCACTATCCACCAGGATCCTGTGCACATGAAAATTGGCCACCGTCATGGTGAGCACCAAGGGGTCGTCATGGGGGTGTTGGATTTCCTCCACGTCCTTGTCTGAAAAAGATATGACCACATCGCCTTCCTGCTTCGGCACCTTAGATGGGCGTATCTCGTAGACATGTCTTGCCTTCCTGGCATGGGCCTTCATCGCGGAAAGTGATTCTCCCCCACCTGCTAGTCCCCTTGAGATGGTGTGTATTTCCCCCACTGGCTGCTGATCTTCCTGGTTGTGAGGTTGTGGTGCTCGTTCCCTTCCAGCAATGTACTGGCGTAAGTGACCACGCTGGATGAGCCCCTCAATTTGCCTCTTGAGGTCGTAGCAATCGTCGGTGTCATGCCCGTGGTCACGATAGAAGCGGCAATACTTGTTAGGATTTCTGTGATTTGGAGGAGACTTCATTTTTCCAGGCCACTTTATCGTGGGGTCATCCTGGATCTGGAATAGGATGTGTTCCATGGAAGCATTGAGGGGAGTGAAGGGTTGACGGTTCCTCTGAGGAGCAGGACCTAGCCGGTCCTTGACAGGGACTTTCTCTGTCCTGCCATGTTTGTTACTGGTCCCCTTCTTATCGTCCCTCTCCCTTTCCTTCCTTTTATCTCCTACTCTGGAAGACTCACCCCGCTTGGCCCTTGTGATGTCTTCTGCGTTTATGTACTTTTGGGCCTTGACTAGCAGCTCTGGCATGCTCTTCGGTGGACGCTTCAGAACTGAGAAAAGGAAGCTTGATGAACAGAGGCCACCCAAGAAGGCGATCATCGTCACCTTGTCGTCGGGTTCATCAACTTGGAGTACCTCCTCGTTAAAACGAGTGAGGTAACTCCTCAGGCTCTCCTCGCGGTCCTGCTTTATACTAAGCAGGTGCGTAACTGGCTTCTGGTGGCGACGCCCTCCAATGAAGTGTGAGACGAATGATCTGCTAAGCTCGGCGAAATAGGAAATAGAGCGAGGGAGAGCTTAGCAAACCACTGTCGGGCAGACCCCTTTAACGTGGTTGGAAATGCCCTGCACATGATTTCATCTGGTACGTTGTGCAATTGCATCAAGGTCTTGTAAGTATCGAGGTGGTCCAGTGGATCCTTTGTTCCATCAAAGGTCTCCACAGATGGCATTTTGAACTTCTGAGGGATGGGGTAGTTTGCTACATCAGGTTTGAAAGGCGTATCAGTACGCCTTACCAGGTGGTCAACAGTCTCGGGTCCCTGTGCCTTCATGGCGTTGAAGACATCACCGAGTTGATTCTATATCTCCTTTATCTTTTCGTCCCAATGATTGGGGGCTCCTCTGGAATGATCATGGAAGTGGCTTCCATGCTCCATGCTTTAGTTTTCACTCTCATCCTCCTGGAGATAAGGGTCATCTCCCTGGGAAGCAAGGGGAGGGGGAGGTGCAGCTCCCTCATGTTGGGCTTCCCGAAGTGGGGTGCCCAATGGGGCGCCCGGGCGTGGAGCAACAGGGCGTGGTGCTCCTTGACGTCCAGGACGTGGAGCTCCCGGGGGTGCTCTATGTTGTGCACCTCCGTGGGGCCCTCCATGTTGTGCATCTCCGTGTGGTGCTCCACGTTGTGCACCTCCGTGTGGTGCTCTACCTTGGTGTCCTCCATGCTGTGCACCTCCGTGTGGTGCTCCTCCTTGTCCAACAAGTATGAGTTGCAGTAACTGTTGGTTTTGAGCAACCAGTTGCTGCATGGTCTCCAATATTTGTTGGGGATTCGGGGCTAGAGTATCCGGAACAGGGTTGATAGGCGGGGGAGCAACCTCCTCCTCTCGTGGAGGATTGTCTTCGTGTTGGTTCATGGATCGAGTAGTGATCGCCATTAGTTAATGGATGTAATGTTCAGGAGTGAGAATTTTGATAATTCCCACAGACGGCGCCAAACTGATGATGCACAAAAATGATTTTGCACACCACCTGTCAAGTGTAGATAATAAATGCAGTGAAATCAATGAAAGAATTAAAAAGACACAATTTATAGTGGTTCGGTCAATTCGACCTACGTCCACTCTTCAATGGCTTCAGTTGCCGGGTATTTTATTAATTCAGAGGTATGGAGAATAGAGATACAAGCTTTGAGAGAATAAAGAATCAAAGAAGAAGTGGTCTCCGGTCGTCGGTCTGTCCTCTGTAAGTGTTGGTGGGGCGTGACCTTCATCTCTCGTCTCTCCAGATTGGGGCTACTTTATAGCAGCTAAGAGATCATTCTTGTGGAGATCATGACTTATCCTCAAGGCTTCTTTATCGCAGCTAAGAGATTATTCTGGTGGAGATCACGACTTATCCTCAACGGAAGGAGGAGGTTGGGGAGCTCTTCATGAAACGTGGTCAAAGATTGGACCGTTTCCTTCGGTGGTGCAGATAAGCTTCCCATGCTCTCCTCTTGATGACGTGCTAAGCAAAAAGTCTAACCGGTCTTGGACTGTCTTGGGCTTGGTGGAATCAAAATGAGGTTGGGCTCCTCAACTGGGGTTGGACTTTAACACATAAATTGGACTATTTTGGCTTAACCCATCAATATGTATACTCTTTATTGGCGGTGCATGTGGGACGAGAGAATTAGTTGGATGCCCTAAGCTGTTCGAACATGAATTAAATTAACAGACCTCCAAAAAAAAAAAAAACGTATTGCATCTTGACGGTGCATAAAATAATTGGGAGGTCGCAAGCTCATCTTTTTGACCATCTATCTAATATTATTATTAGGAGAAATTGAATGCTCAATTTATAAAAATATAATAACAATTAATTTTTATTTATTTTGTAACAATAGTATAAAATTGCGACTGAAATTTTTTTTTTTTCACACAAAAATATTTTCTTTAGATGACCTCCAATATTAAACAATTCAACTAACACTCCTTTTACTGTAAAATAACCCCACTAATCTACACTTATTTCTCTATTATTTTTTTTCTTTGTTTACTTTAATTTTAAATTATTATTTAAAATATAAATGTTGTGCAATCAATAATAAATTTATGGTATTGACAATGTTATTTGAACTTAATTTATTGACTTAATTACTATAATATTTAGATTAATTGTGGGCCTCATTAAATATTAAAATTTGATATTTATTTCATTGTTACAATAAAATTACATTAAATCAATAAATTAAATAAAATTTTTAAATGAATTAAAATATACAAGAATGCCCTCATCATAAACGCACATGCATTCATGCTCACATCCCCCCAATGATCACAGTACACACAAAAGCAAGTATTAATTAATTTTCAAGTTGGCCTAATCACCGATCAAACAAAAAATTTATACAAAATTAATTAGTGTTTGTTTACCATTAGCGGATACGAATCGAAACATTAGACTCGTCTAATGAATAAATTGATACAAAGTGAATTAAATATAAACACAATTTATATATAATATGAATAAAATATAATGCAACCGTAACTATGCTATAAAAAATAAAGCAAATAAGATCATCCAATTAGTATGGTGAAATGGTCGAAAACAACTGATCATCAGGATAGCACAAAGATTAGAGTTTAAATGATTAAGATATCAAGATCCTAATTTTTAATCTCGCGGGAGACGCCGGAATTGACCGGTTTTTACTACTAACCTTCTGTGGGGCTCCGGAGGCTCCATGAACCGGCCTCTCTTTAACTTTCGCATAAATCTTCACCGTCTATGTTTGACCAAAAAGTAAGGACGTACCTGGTACATAGAAATAAGTCTACAGAAAACTTTTCCGGTCACCGGAGACTTGGAACCGGCACAGAGGGCAAGAATTGTGGAGAGAGAGCCACTTTATGATACAGACTTCATGATATAAGTGGCCACATGGAACTTGTTTACCATCCTCGCCTGATCGGAAGCCTTCCATGCAGACTGTACAAACACCAGAGGCAGGCACCGTCGGCATTTCATTCCGGTGAGGTACGACCGAGTCTGAGATTCCTATCACGCCGGTGGCAGAGTCGTCCGCCATGGTCAAAGCCAGATCGAGGTCAAATAATTGATTGCCGTTCACATAGAAGGTACAAACACCAGAGGCAGCAGTCACCGGAGGTAAGTCATTCCGGTGAGGTGCCGACGTGTCTGCGATCTCGATCACACTGGCTGAATCGTCCACCGTGGTCAAAGCAAGGTCGAGGTCAAATAGTTGATCAATTTGAGGGTTTGACATGGTGTTAGACTCTGAAGAAAAAGAGAGGATGTTGCAGAGAGAGAGAGAGAGAGGCGTCCAAAGCTATACTAAGGCTAAAATATTATGACTTCGAGATTTGGAAGCTACGAAGTCTATATATAGAGATAAAAAGTTTCTCAATATGATTGATAATTAAATTGAGTCTTTCATACTTAATTTTTGAAATAAGTTAAAAAAATTATTCAACATCAACTCATTTAAAAAATGAGTAAAGCTCAAATTGAGTTGAACCCGAATCGAGTTTGAGTTCGAACAGAATTTTATATATAAACGAGCCGAGTTTTACAAGTTCTGTTAGAGAAATCTGAAGACAATCAAGAGGATTTTTTACTTGTATAGCTGCTTTTTGAATTTCAAATAGTTGTTCTGCTTTTTTATGATAAGATTGCTCTGTAAATATTTCTATAAATATCAAGATATCCTCACAGCAGGTCAAGCTTGAGGTTTACCTTTTCATGGTATCAAAGCCATTTTCGGTTAAAACCTTAAAATATATATATTTTTTTCCATGGCCGATTCAAGCTTCAATCAGCTTCCGCTCAATACGATGGTTCACATGGTAACCATCAAATTCACTTCTACCAATTACCTCCTGTGGTGTAGCCAATTCGTTCCCTTGCTTGAAAGTCAAGATCTCATGGGCTTCCTGGACGGATCTTTCCCTGCACCCACATCCCTGCTCCAAGAGGGTTCCAATCAATTTCCTAATCCAGCTTACAAGATATGGTATACGCAAGACAGGATGTTGCTCAGCCTCATTTACGCTTCTCTTACAAAGGAATGTATGGCCGAGGTTGTTAATTCCTCAACTGCTCGTGATGCTTGGTTGACTCTCGAAGCATCATTTTCTCACAGCTCCAAGACAAGAGAAATTCAATTGAAAGACGAACTTCAGTTAATGCAACGTGGCTCTCATACTGTGGCTGAATATGCTCGTTCTTTTTGATCTCTTTGTGATCAACTTAGTGCTATTGACAAACCGATTGATGACACTGATAAGGTACATTGGTTTCTTCGTGGCCTTGGATTAGATTTCAAAATTTTTTTGACATCTATGTTGTCTCAGATGCCACTGCCTTCCTTCGCCAATTTGGTTCCCAAAGCTCTGAGTCATGAGCTTTTCTTTGGATCCATTCCTAGTGATTCCTCTCAACAGTCGATTTTCATTGCACAACGTCGTCCTTTTGCCAGTTTCCACTGGTCGCACCAAGCAGGACAATTCTCCACTAGGTTTCACTAAAGGGTCTATTGTTGCTTGCCAGTGGTGTGGTAAAGAAAATCACACTGCCAAAAAGTGTTATAAACTTGGCAAATTATTAAAAAAGGCCAAGGCTAGTGTCTTAATTGAAGCTTTCTCTGCCACCTCTCTTGATAATCCCACTGATTTCGAATGGTACACAGATACAGGAGCCACTTCGCATATGACAAATGATGATGCGTCTCTTGATAATTCTATTTCTTACAATGGTAATCAACAGGTGTTTGTTGGTAACGGTAACTCATTGCCTATCTCTAGAATTGGCTCCATCTCATCCATTGTTGCTTCTAAATCTTTATCATTATCTGATGTTCTCCTTGTTCCTGGCATTACTAAAAATCTGTTGTCTATCAGTAAGCTTACTCATGAGAATAACTGCTCAGTAACCTTTTCTTCTGCTGGCTTTACAATACAGGATCTAGCAACAAGAATGGTGGTAGGAGTCGGCCGATGTGAGAAAGGACTCTACATTCTTGACCGTGCCCATGCAAGTTTTTTCTCTACTTTTTCTTTATGTACTTTTCGTGCTACATCTGATATTTGGCATGCCCGATTGGGACATCCTTCTAATCGCATTGTTTCTTTTTTAAATAAGCATGGAGATATTACCATTTCTAATAAAAGAAAGTTTGATTCTGCATCGTGTTTTGGTTGCCTATTGGGAAGAAATCATCGTTTACCTTTCTCCAATTTAGATCAACGTTGCTCCTCATTATTTGACAGAATTCATTGCGATTTATGGGGTCCTTCACCAATCACTTCTCCATCTGGATATAAATATTATTGTGTATTTATTGATGACTTTTCTCGATTTAGTTGGATTTTTCCTTTAAAGCTTAAGTCAGATTTCTTCGATATTTTTGTCCGTTTTTATAAGTATGTCAACACACAATTTGATAGAAACATTAAATCCTTTCAATGTGATGGTGGCACCGAATTTACCAATAATCGTTTCACCTCTTTTCTTCATGAGTGTGGTATAGTTCAACGTATTGCTTATCCTTACACTCCTAGTCAAAATGGTATTGCTGAGAGAAAACATCATCATATCACTGAAACTGATCTCACCCTCATGTTTCATTCTAGTGTTCCATTACATCTTTGGGTTGAGTCCTTCTCAACGGCTTGTTATCTCATAAATCGCCTTACATCACCGGTTCTTGAAGGGAAAACTCCTTATGAGATCTTATATGGAAAAGCTCCTTCTTACTCGTCACTTCGCACTTTTGGCTGTCTTTGCTTTCCTTTTTGCGTGACTATATGCCTCATAAATTGTCTCCTCATTCTACTCCTTGTATTTTCTTAGGCTATAGTCCTCTTCATAAAGGTTTTCGATGTTTGGATAAAAACACTAACAGAGTATATGTCTCTCATCATGTGCAATTTTTTTAGGATTATTTGTCTTACGGTACTTCAAGTTTACCAACTTTGGCTTCTAAAGATTACGTTACTTTTATTGATCCTCTTGAAAATTCTTTGTCGTATGAAAATGACTCTTCTTCAGGTGTGACTTCCACCCATCACAAGGCTCCTATCTTTTGGGCTTCTTGTGCAGACAACAGTAGCACTTTGCTGCCACTTGTGCTGCCTTCAACTGCAACAACGTCAACCGCCTTCCTCTACACACCCAATGATTACTCGTGCAAAGGACGGTATTATTAAGCCTCGCACTATTCATTCGTTAATTGCTTTGTCAACTCCTCAATGGTTTCAGGTACATCTTGCCATTAAAGAGCCGCGCGGATTTAAATTAGCTGTCAAACATCCCGAATGGCTCTCTGCCATGGATGATGAAATTACTGCACTTAAGCAAAATAGCACTTGGCACCTGGTACCTCGTCCTTCTGCTCATAATATTGTCGGCTGTCAGTGGATATTCAAAACAAAACTTCGATCCAATAGAACTATCGAGCGTCACAAAGCTCGCCTAGTTGCACAAGGTTTTTCTCAGAAGCATGGCATCGATTTTGAAGACACTTTTAGTCCAGTTGTTCGCCTTGCTACTATTCGGATTATCTTGTCTCTTGCTGCATTGCATGGTTGGTGTCTTCATCAACTTGACGTAAAAAATGTGTTTCTACATGGCTTTCTTTCTGAGGAAGTCTATATGGAACAACCCCCAAGTTATATTGATCCTCAATTCCCAAATCACGTTTATCATTTACAGCGTGCCCTTTATGGCCTTAAACAAGCTTCAAGGGCTTGGTTTCAACATTTTAGTAATTTTTTGCTTATTCTTGGATTTCTTACGAGCCGTGCAAATATGTCTCTCTTTATCTATCACGGTCAACATGGTGTTATTTATCTCCTTTTGTACGTTGATGATATAGTTATTACTGGCAACAATCCAACCATGCTTCGTACTCTTATTGATCGTCTTGCCACTGAATTTTCTATGAAAGATTTGGGTGATCTCCACTCTTTTCTTGGTGTTGAGGTTATTCGCAATGATAAAGGTTTTTTTCTAAGTCAAGCAAAATATGCTCTAAATCTTTTGACTCGCGCTGAAATGGTGGATTGCAAACCAATTTCCACACCCTTTGTGGTCGGTTCTCATCTTTCCGGCACTGGTATAGCATATTCAGATGCAACACAATTTCGCTCATTGGCTGGAGCCTTGCAATATTTGACTCTCACACGTCCTGATTTGTCTTACAGTGTTAATTCCATTTGTCAATATATGCATGCTCCTACTATTGATCACTTTTGTGCCTTGAAGCGTATTTTACGATATGTTAAAGGCATCTATCACTATGGTCTTCAGCTATCACGGGATCCTTGCTCAACTCTTATTGGTTATTCTGATGCCGATTAGGCGGGTTGCCCTGATACTCGACGGTCTACTACAGGTTTTACTGTTTATTTTGGTCGAAATTTAATTTTGTGGTGTTCTAAGAAGCAAACTACTGTTGCACGTTTCAGCACTGAGGCAAAATACAGGGCTCTTGCATTTGTAGCTGCCGAACTCTCCTGGACACTTCAGCTATTCCGTGAACTACATATCCAACTCTCCTCTCCTCCAAAACTGCCATGTGATAATAACAGTGCTATATTTATAGCAACAAATCTTGTCACCAAATCTCGCTCTAAGCACATCGACATTCACTACCATTTTGTTAGAGAGCTTGTTGCTCAACGGGTTCTCACTTTGGCGTTCGTTCCCTCTCAACTACAATTCGCAGATGTCTTCACTAAAGGGGTTGCTAAATTATAGTATCTCCTGGATCGTACCAAGTTGTGCGTGTTTCCACATTCCACCACACCAACTTTGAGGGGGGGGTATTAGAGGAGAATCCGTTATAGGAGAATTTGGAGACAATCAAGAGGATTCTTTACTTGTATAGATGCTTTTTGAATTTCAAATAGTTGTTCTGTTTTTTATGATAAGATTGCTCTGTAAATATTTCTATAAATATCAAGATATCCTCACAGCAGGTTAAGCTTGAGGTTTACCTTTTCAAGTTCGAACCGAACCTTTAAGTTTCGTTTTTAAAAGATTCTAAAAAATTATTTAGGTTCAACTAGTTTAAAAAATAAGTTGAGCCCAAACAAGTCCCTGTACAATCCGAACTCGAGTTGTGCTCGAGTATTTTGAATTAATTAACAATTTTATCTGTGATGAGGATACCAAAAAATTATTTTTTAATATCATATATTTATTTTTTATTCATATACAAAACTTTTTTCTTTCTATTTTTTTTTATTTTTTCAATAAATATTT